GAAATAGGGCTTCTTAAGTAATGGACTAACTGTGGGCCTGACCCACTTCTCCAATTACTTATATAATATTATGAGCCACTGACATAATATTATTGCACTCATTTTTCCTAACCCAAATTACAATTGAGTCTCCAATAATAATTACCCGAATTACCTCCCCATATTTAAGATATAATGTTCATTAAGTAAATTGATTACTGATAATCAAGAATTAATTAATTTATTATTATTTCACCGAAGCTAGCGTTCGTTCATCACATTATTACTATGCCAGAATTTAATCCACTTGCAGGGTTTAGCATAATAATTCTTCATTAACTTACTTCGAGGACATAATCAAACTAAACGTACATGGTGACCGTAAATACTCTAACAACACATCTTACATATAATGATATTACCCAAGATAGTAGGAATATTAGTTCAGCGAATTGAACCTCACCCAAGCGAATCAAAAAAATATATACTGCATATATATGTCTGTTTAATATCCTACGGGTTAAGAGAACACATTAATTAACCGAGGCCTAGTTTTACTACGATCAGTATAAAACAAACTTCTCCTCTCTGGAATCCTGTTCAATACATAAATGTACTAGTGCAACTAATCAGTCAAGACCAACTGTACCATTGAAACTACAACCGTTCAGATGGTGTGTTCATTTTCATGTAGGTTGTGAACCACATTTCTTGTTTCGCAAGTAACTGATAGAATCATCTTTGGTTCGCTCGACGACGACCCATTCTATCTAAGTGCAAAACAACAAAACATACAACTTGTTTAATCTAACATGATTCTCATTCATAAAGGGTAAAAATTTAATATTATCAAAAGCCAAGCTTTTAGTATATAACACTAACAGTTTGTGGGCTAGGTATTACATGTGAGTCGAGTGATGGATGGAGATAAGTAAAAATATTTTTTGAAAAACTAAAAAACAAGTCCGTGAAAATTTGCACTGTATGTTAGTGTTTAAATGACGAATATTTGAACTCATTATATTAAAAGTATTTTTGAAGTGAAATAGATTTTACCCGGGCTCCTTCAGTTCGACCGGTTTCCGTACCTGCAAGAACCCAACGCCGGGGTGGCCCCGGCGTCGGGCCTCCGATGCCTAAGTCAGTGCTCCATCAATAGAGAGAGAAAGTGTAGTCATCAAATGAGTAGAGAGAGTGAGAGAATGAGGTACCTTGGCCCCCTTTTATAGGGGAGTGTACCTTTTGGGCCCAAGTTGGGCTTGACCCCTATCGTTAGGCTTAGATATCTTAGTGGGCTTATCCTCCAATATGTATGGGCTTATCC